CTATAAAATTGGATTTACAATTGCCATTGATCAGTAGAGGATGACGTCGTTCTACAAGTGTGACAATCGAGTTGCATGTAGTTCCTTTGTACGCCTGAATATTTCTAGTGGAATTCGATGGAACCTTGTAATGCTTTTTTCTATATGGAGTACGCCTGAATATTTCTAGTGGAATTCGATGGAACCTTGTAATGCTTTTTTCTATATGGAGTTGGTATAGTACAGCATGAAGATGGCCAAAATATATGCATCTTATATCTATTTAGTGTACATTATTAAAAGAGAAGAGGACCGTATTTAACAGCAAAGAAAATCCTGACAAGAACATGTTTTCGAGCCGTCAAAGCTTCCAAGAAATTATTCTTACCCATGTTTTAGTTTGAGCCTGAATTTCCATGCCCTTTTTGTAAGAACTAGTCAAAGCAATGTTTCGTAAATCGGATCGGACTAGCTAGTTCATCGGAAAAATCAGAATCAGCCTCAAATCCAGTCCGATACTAATAAATTAACCGAAAATGAAAAAACCGGTAAATAACCAGTGGAACCGGTCATTTTAGCCAGAAATAGGAAAACCGATCACGGTTTTTACCAATTTTTTCAGAAAAAAAAATAATAATTACTTTGATAAATGGGCTCAAGCATTGGCAATCCCAATTTTACATTCTTTCCAATACAAGTGTTGTTTTCAAAAGAGAATAGACATGCAATGTTTTTCTCAACTTCCAATGTGGGATAAGTACGAGTGTTGTTTAAAAAAAAAGGCATGCAATGTTTTTCTCAACTTCTAATGTGGTATAAGTTGTAAAATCCTTTGCAATTTATATATTTAATAATTGTTCACTTTTTTCTTTCTATTAAAAAAATGTTGGCCTCAAAAACACAAATAATTTCAATTTTAACAAAGCAAATGATTTTGGACACAACAATTTTTAGTTTTTGATGTTTTGAAATAAATTATAGAATAATAAACCATTAAATCTAATTGATAAATATTGATTTATATTTACTTTGAATTAGTAATACAATTTAAAATTTTGTTATTGTTATAATATTTTAGAGTTTGTTGGAGTATTTATTTATTTAGCCCCCATTTGATCTCCATTAATTTTCATTTCATTTTATTTTTCTCTCTCTTATTTTCAACCTACGATCTTTCATAAAATAATATTACACGTAAATCAAAAAAAATTCTTTTTTTTTCAATCACTTATTTTTCAAAAAAAAAACATTATTCCACTCATTTTCATTTCTAAAAAATAGGGGCCAAACGGGGGCTTAATTTTGATATCCAATTTGACCTCGGGTAGGCCCTAGTTCGATCGTTTGACCATTGACCCTTTTTCTTTTCTTAGTCTAAGTTCAGGTCAATTTTTAAAACATTGTGTAAAAGTAATATGTGGTACCAATTTGTTTAAGGATTTGATAAGTCTCGAACGAATTAAAGAAAATAAAATTTAGTATAAATATTTAAGAGAAAAAAAAATTTACTCATAAAATTCAATTTCTATGATTCAAATTTTTTGTAATGATGGAATACTATAAATGAACAATATTTTCATATTACATTTGATACATAAATTTAAACACTCATTAAAATTTTTAAATACATGAATATGAATAAATTCATTTAGGCCATGTTTGATATGCCTCCATTTTCCAAATTAAATTTCATTTCCCACTTTTTGGCATGTTTAATGGTAGAAATTTTTCATGGAAAAGATTTTCCCTAAACCCATGCCACATAAGCATTTTCTTGCTTTTTGATGAAATGCAATTCCCATTTCAACTTTTTCCCCTTTTTTTTATTTTTTTTATTTTTTGTTTTTGCAATTGAAACAAATTTTAGGAACAATTGTAAAAGATGATATTCCTTATATTAACAATTTCCATGTAAAACTAAGCCAAATGAACAGCAAAAAATAAATGATTTTTTGAATTTATTATTATCATCATCATCATCATCATTATTATTATTATTATTATATTATTATTATTTTTTTTGCAATGGAAACAAGTTCTAGGAACAATTGTAAAAGATGATATCGCTTAAATTAACAATTTTCATGAAAAATTAAACCAAACGAATATCAAAAGACACTTTTATTTCAACATTTTTCAGATGAAAAGTTATATCAATCAAACACTATTAATTGACAATTCTCAGTAAAATAATTTATAGACAATTCAATTTCCTGAAATCCGTTTTTTTTCCACCCAAATTTTTTCTTTACAATCAAACGGATCCTTATAATAACTCTAGAATTCAGAATTCATCAAGTGAAAATTCATTGAATCTAAATTAATTCAACTGTTAATTACTTGAGAATTAATAACACAAATTTAATAAACGACAATAATTATATAAAAGTAAGTTATTATTGAAATAATTGAATTGTAAGGAAGTTAAAACTGTCAAAAAAAAAAATTCTCCCTTGATGTAATACTTTAATAGATTATAGATAATATTATCTAGCACTAGTTTCGAAATAATGTTGTATAACCACACAACACCCACACAGACACCTCATTCGACAAAGATTAACTTGACTCTCCCAACTCGGTAATAGAATGTTCAATAGACGATCACTAAAGCACTGGCCAAATTTTCACCAACTTGCTAGACATTCAAGACAGCAATGCACTCTTCAACTTTTGAATCCGTTGCCCGCTTCAAACACATATAATACTGAATTCTGTCCAAATTTTAGCAGAACAAAAGCAACTAACTTGACTGTCAAAATGGACTCAATAACCTGACCGCATTTTATTTTGTACGTGTTAAACATGCTGGCAACATTTATCACAGAAACATTGAAGAAGACTCACCTGAGAACTTTCAGACTTCTTTCATTGTACTGCTTATAGCCATTTAAATTCATACCCTCCCTATGATGGCTGCTTTTCTTTACTAAAACAGCAGGGACTTGAAAATGTCCCCAGACAAAGGCTACATTTATACAAGTTACAGAACCCAAGGACAACTTTTTTGAACCATTCATCTAGATTTAGAATCATTATTTCCATATAAGATATAACAACAAAAATCCATCGAGTTCTCAGGGAATCCATTTTCATGAAAAACATACAGATCATACTTCCTTTCTTCAGAGAGGGAAACACTAATGAGAGGAATTTGAATATCTAGTATAATTAGTTCCGGCACGATTCAATCAAGCCAATTACAGTAAATATCACAAAAACATTGAAGAAGACTCACCTGAGAACTTTCAGACTTCTTTCATTATAGCCATTTAAATTCATACCCTCCCTATGATGGCTGCTGTTCTTTACTAAAACAGGAGGGACTTGAAAATGTCCCCGGACAAAGGCTACATTCATACAACTAACGGAATGCTCAAAAAGAATTCGATGAAATTCATCCTAAATATCAGCACCGAGGGAGGAAATTCTTCCTCCAGTTAGAGAAAATAACAAAGTATTATGGAGCAGTAGATTCAAGAAGCTCACTTCTGATTCTGTTCAATTTTGGCTCGTATCTTCTGTTCCAGTACGGAGATTTCTGTGTCGAGACTGAATATTCTGTTGAGAGCATGCATATTTTCGAGTATCTCACTTAGAGACCTAATCTCATTTCCATCACATCGTAGATGTTGCATTGGACCATGAAGGAGTTTGTTCACTATTCCTATACTAAGATCGTATATGGCTTTCTTTTTGTTCTTCGGGATATCATCGCCCATCTTAGACAAACACTTGTCAAACTCAGATGACCTAATTCTTTCTGCATATGCCCTAAGCTTCTTGATGGTTGGAACAGTTTCGAGGGAGTCTTTCCAGGCTTCAAATTGTTTCACTTCCTCTACGATAATTGCTTGAGCTTCCATTGCTTTGTGCAACCGGTCCTCCTTGTTAGCTTCCACGATTTCTTTCAGATCATCCACATTATAAACGCGTGCAGTTTCAACATCTGAAACGCATGATCCCACATTTCGTGGAACAGAAATATCTATGAATAGCCTCCGACCTCCAATCTGAGAGCTCACGGGGGGAAGAGCCTGAACCTGCTCTTTTGAAAACAGCAGAGTTTCAGAAGCAGTGCTGGTGAAGATGACATCGGCTTCAGCAGCACGTGCTAACATTTCGGAGAGAGGCAAGTAGACTATTTCAACATTCTCAAGCTCCTTGCGTATGGCGGAGACTCTGTCCTCGGTTCTGTTAACAACAACTATTTTCGTGCAACCTTTCGCAGCCAAATGTTTGATCACAAGTTTTCCCATCTTGCCAGCTCCAACAACCAACATTCTTGCAGTAGCATGAGAAGATTCTGGAAGTTTCATTAAAGCAAGTTCCACGGCAGCTGAACTAACTGAAACAGATCCTGTGGAAATACTTGTCTTGGTTCTCACACGTTTTCCAACTGTAATTGCATGCTTAAACAGCCCACTAATTTTGCGATCAAAGCCAGGGATGCCCTGTCCAGTTTTAACTACTTGTTTTACCTGTGCAAGAATCTGACCTTCTCCTAAGACAAGGGAATCAAGTCCAGCAGATACTTCAAACAAGTGATGTGTAGCATCCTTGTTATACAGCAAAAATCGGTGCTGACAAAGCTCTGAAACAGGAACAGCACTAATCTGCCAACAAAAGATACACAAAATCAGAAACCATTCGTGTAATTATTGACAAACCTAGGATGCATTGAAACACTCCCAGCGCCGACACGGCACCAACACACCGCCACAGGTGGAAAAAACTCCAGATGGCATGTTCATATTATTGTTTGATTTTGCAGTGTTGGACATGTTGCCAACATGCAGTGATACATCATGCTGAACACCAACAAGTTGCCAAAACATGTCAGAAATGCAAGGTGCCGTGTCCGATACTTGAGTATGTGTCAGCGCTTCCTGGACAAACAGGCAATCTTGCACTTGTTGGACGTTTCCCTGTTTATTGGCTAAAAGACAAATCCTACGTGTGCAAAAATGTCGACTGTCACAAA